TTAAGGGAGAAAAATAAAGAAGGGAAGCCAGGAGAAAATCCCACAGCAAAAGTATAATAAAAACACACAAAAACAAAAACAAAAATTAAAAAAAAAAAAAAAACAAAAACAAAAACAAACAACAAAAAAATCCAAAAAAACCCCAAAAGCCACACACAAAATACCCCAAGCAAACCACAAAAAAAAAAGAACAAAAAAAAAATCAAAACACAAAAAACCCCCAAACAAACAAAAAACCCCACACATCAAAAAAATAGAAAAAAACCCACAAAAAATCACAACACAACCCAACAACCAGCCCACAACTAAGAAGGGAAGAGGAGGAAGAGAAGGAGGAGGAGGAGGAAGAGGAGGAGTAGGACAGAACAGGTGCTCAGCCAGTGCCTTTTCATTTAAGGTAGCAAAATATCCTTTCTCCTGCAGTTCATACCAGATTTGGCACCAATGAGATACAGCAAAGCCAGCCCAAAAATCAACTTTTTAGGACAGTCCTTGATAACCCAGGAAACAGAGTGCATTGCTCATTTGAGCTCAGTTTCACGACAGTAAAACAATCACATATTTTAAATGAAGGGATTCTGGTTTGCTCTGTGTTTGGTTTCTTTGGGGTTTGTTTGGTTTTTGGGGTTTTTTTTTTTTGTTTTTTTTTTTTTTTTTTTTTAATTTGTCAACTCCAGGAAGAGTGAGACCATTCATTCTGCCACACTCCCAAAAATATGCAGCTTAGGTAGATTTGGCCCTGGCTCTCCATGGCTACTGGATAATGAAGACCTTTAGGCCTCTTCCCAAACCTCTGTCATCTCATTTTCAATCCCAAGTCCCTGCTGCCTTCGTGTGTTCTAGCCCAAGCTGTGCCTCATTCCCCAGACTGGAATCTGCTTTTCCTCAAAAGCCAGAGGTCCTTCCTCCTCTCCCAGATCCAGGAGAAGCAGCAGCAGCAATGTAATTTTCTGCCTCATTGTCTTTCCAGTGAGAGGGGCACATCGTCACATTTTCTGTAAGAAAAGAACTGGCTTTTGCAAAGATTGTGGGTGGAGGCACATTTCAAGTGTCACATCTCCCTTGGAACCTCCAGGGTCAAAGGAGATATTCCAGGATGAGAAAAGCTTCCTTTTCCTTTTCCTTTTCCTTTTCCTTTTCCTTTTCCTTTTCCTTTTCCTTTTCCTTTTCCTTTTCCTTTTCCTTTTCCTTTTCCTTTTCCTTTCCTTTCCTTTTCCTTTTCCTTTTCCTTTTCCCCTTTCCTTCCCTTCCCCTTTCCTTTCCTTCCCTTCCCTTCCCCTTTCCTTTCCTTCCCTTCCCCTTTCCTTTCCTTCCCTTCCCCTTTCCTTTCCTTTCCTTTCCTTTCCTTTCCTTTCCTTTCCTTTCCTTTCCTTTCCTTTCCTTTCCTTTCCTTTCCTTTCCTTTCCTTTCCTTTCCTTTCCTTTCCTTTCCTTTCCTTTCCTTTCCTTTCCTTTCCTTTCCTTTCCTTTCCTTTCCTTTCCTTCCCTTCCCTTCCCTTCCCTTCCCTTCCCTTCCCTTCCCTTCCCTTCCCTTCCCTTCCCTTCCCTTCCCTTCCCTTCCCTTCCCTTCCCTTCCCTTCCCTTCCCTTCCCTTCCCTTCCTTCCTTCCCTTCCCTTCCCTTCCCTTCCCTTCCCTTCCCTTCCCTTCCCTTCCCTTCCCTTCCCTTCCCTTCCCTTCCCTTCCCTTCCCCTTCCCTTCCCCTTCCCCTTCCCCTTCCCTTCCCTTTCCCTTTCCCTTCCCTTTCCCTTCCCTTCCCTTCCCCTTCCCCTTCCCCTTCCCCTTCCCCTTCCCCTTCCCCTTCCCCTTCCCTTCCCCTTCCCCTTTCCCTTTCCCTTTCCCCTTCCCCTTCCCCTTCCCTTTCCCTTTCCCTTTCCCTTTCCCTCTCCCTTTCCCTTTCCCTTTCCCTTTCCCTTTCCCTTTCCCTTTCCCTTTCCCTTTTCTTCTTTCTTTTCCTTTTTTTGCTTTCCTTTTTCTTTTCCTTTTTTCCCTTTTTTCCTTTCCTTTTTTATTTCCTTTCCTTTATTTTTCCTTTTCCTTTTTCCCCTTCCCTTTTCCTTTCCTTATTTGCAGAGGGCCAGAGGAGGCGGGAGGCAGCCAGCAAGGAGGAACATCCCCATATTCGGATGCTGCTGCTGGAGTCAGATGTGACAGTGCTCTGGGCAAGCCTCCAGCCCTGCTGGCACAGGCACAGTTGTTAGAAAGAGTGAGCATTAACAGCCTGAGTCAGTCCTTTCTGCTAATATTTATTAACTCCGCTATTTCAGTATTAAAAACCCAACATAGCCGAGCTCTGAATCAGATTTCTCGGTAATAACCACCCCAAAGCATAACACTTCTCCTCCCAAGGTGGACAGAGGACTGTGGAACATCTTTGTCCCCAAAGGAAACAGGAAAATTTGCAGACTAGCTGTGCTGGCTGTCTTCACTTTCTTGCCTCTCCTCCTCCTCCTGTGGAAACTGCTGGTAAGGCTTTCCATGGTGCCTTACCTCAGATCACCTCTCTCCTTGGATGCCCTCCTCAGAGGGGGAAGATGGATTATTGGAGTATCCCTGAGCCCCTGGAAAGGAGGGCAGTGAAAAAGAACATCATTTAAAAGGGGCTGTGGGCAACCTGCTTTGGTTTTTCACCAGGCAGGAAGGTCTCTCACCCTGCCAAAACACCTTGCAGCACTCAAATTTGCTCATTCTTGAGGAAGCTGGAGCCCTGAGCAGCAATGCTCTGGTCACAGCACCTCCTGACAAAGAACTGACCCTTTGGGATACCTGTTTTCCCCAAGCAGATGCACATTTGCACTCAGCAAGCTTTTCTTTGCAATTGCCACCCTCAGACGTGTTTGGATCAACACAAAATGCTGCATTCCCTGGGGTGGAGCTCAGTGCAGAGAGGGAAATCCAGCTGAGGCTGCGGTTTGGGCAGATATTTCATTTAACCACAGACCTGTCATCAGGCCTCAGAAGTGTCTGGAGAGATCCAAAAGGCTCCCTGCAGACCCCTCCTGCTGTGGACACACCACAGATTCCTGCAGTGCTGTGGACAGACACCTGGATGTCCATGGAGAGCTCTTCATCCATACCAGTCCTTCCCTCCTCCAGCCACCCACATCTCCCTGGCTGATAGCATTTTTTCATCACTGTTTTTCTGAACCAACCTGCAGAAAATTGCTGCTATCCTTCACAGGGCCATCCTCTCAGCAGTCTCTGTGGTTTTTTGGGAGCTCACCCACAGCTTTTGCTGGATTTAGAGAGGGCCAGTTCGAGCCTCAGAGTGGGGAATCGCATTTTTGGGCAGCCACGTCGACTTGCTGAACATGCACAGGGGATTGCAAAGTCTCTTTTCACAGCCTGTGGATGCAGAGTGAGGTTGGGGGTGCTTCCCCAGTGAGCTGGTGATTTATTTGGGTTTTGGTCACTGTATCAGGGGTCAAGGACAGCAAGCCCCAATGGGCTCAGTCAGTTTTGCAAAAGAAAAGGAAAAAGTTCGCACGAAGAACGAGGCAAGAGGTACTGAAAGGAGGGAAAACTCTCACTTTTGGGTACATCTGATGGCCAGCACAATAAATCTGCATTTTCCAGGGTTTTCCCAAGGCAGCACAGCCTGTAAAATCCCCAGAGACTCAGGGCTGGAAGCGAGCACCTGCCCCATCTGGCTGTCCTAAGCAAGATTATTTCACAGGGCAACATCTGCTACTAGAGGGAAGGAAAGCAGGAAAGCTGGGGTGAGGAGGAGAGGAGACAGCCACATACAGGTTTGCATGAAAAGTGAGATCAAAATGTAAAAGATATAACAGCGACAAGTTTTAAGGAGGTCAGAGAAAATAAGATTAGTTAAAAACACACATTGGGATGATGAAGGGGGTGGCGAGCAGAGGATCAGATTTTACGTTTGAAGAGCAGCTGGACTTCCTTACTCTTGTCAGAAGAGGAACTTACACTCAAAAGCTGGAATAAAATACAAATACAAATGCCTAAAATATCTACTTTAGAATTTTTCTGATGCTTTTCATGTCAGTATAAATAATGTTGTTTGGTACATAAATGGTTTTTCTGCTTTGTAAGTGGGATTCTCTGCATCCCAAACTGTGAGGAGCTTTGTGTGCTGCTGCCTGAATAAGCTGAATCCTCCAGAAAAATGGAATTATGAAAATAAAAAATAAAGCACTGATATACAACTCTTGAACAAGGAAAATATGGGAAGTGTTTTGGAGCCTTTTATAGGTGATGGCATACATTCATCAGCAATACACCTCTGTAAATCCATTTACACAGCTCCCTCTTCATGAATATAGGATGGTCTCTGCCTGTGTGAGTGGCACTGAGATGCTTTGAGCTGAGCAAATAATTATTTATAACTGGTTTATAAATCTTATTACTGAAGAGGTCCAAAATGATTGCAGGGCAGTGATCCAGCAGATGCAAACGGTGATGCCTTGTGAAGGCAGACCTAGAACAGAGGCTGGACAGAGCTAAAGAATAAAGCAGGGATTTATTAAAGGATCTCCTCATGGATCCACCTTGGGCAGCACCAGAGCCCAGCCAGGGCTGCACCCAAATGACCCAAAATGGCCCCAAAATGCACATGTGCTCATGGGGGCTCTCTTTGAGAGAACTGTGATCAGTTCTGATTCATTTGCACATTGGGGTTAATTGTCCAATTGTTAATTGTCCAGCTTTAGCCCACGCAGTCCCATCCTGCTTGTTTTTCTCTCTTCAATTTACTGCTGTTTATAATTTTTGGGCCTGGAGCTTGTAAATGCTCTCTTTGGTCAAGCTAGAAAAGGAATTGTTTTTATTCTCCAAGGGAAAAGAGTCTACCTACCCTGGGAGGAGAACTTGCTAACACTAAATATGAATCTCAGAGCTACACACTAAATCAGGACAGAATCTGAAAAACATAAAAAGCTAAAATTGACCACACCCATTCTGTAAAAGGAAGACTGCAAACCAATTATTGGAGGGCGGGTGGTTTATTTTTTTTACCTTTTTCTCCTCAAATCCCACAGAAAATGGGCCCCGTCTCCTCGTGGTAGCAGAACAAGCCAAAATCTTCTCCCACCGCAGCGGCAACGTGACACTGCCATGCAAATTCTACCACGAGCACACCTCCACCGCCGGCTCAGGAACCCACAAAATCCGCGTCAAGTGGACCAAACTCACCTACGATTACCTCAAGGAAGTGGACGTGTTCGTGGCCATGGGGCACCACAGGAAGAGCTACGGGAGCTACCAGGGCAGGGTGTCCCTGCGGGAGAGCAGCGAGAACGATGCCTCGCTCGTCATCACCAACATCAGGCTGGAGGACTACGGCCGCTACAAGTGCGAGGTGATCGAGGGGCTGGAGGACGACACGGCAGTGGTGACCCTCAATTTGGAAGGTAGGCGACACCCTGAGCCACACCTTGGGTGGGATTGGTGTGGTGTTAGAGAATTCCTGCTTTGTTTTTTCTTTTTTTCCTTCTGCTGCTATTGTGTTATCAGATATTGCGTTATCGCTGGTGCTGCGTTATCGCCGATATCATGTTATCGCTGATTTTATCTTATCAGTGGTTGTGTGTCATCACTGATTTTGTGTGTCATTAGTGAAAACAGCAAGCTGAGGAAGCAGAATTCATTGTGTTCTGGGGAATCTCGGCCTGGCAGTCCACGACAACAATCATAAATTGGAACATCATCATGGCTAGTATAACTTACACTAGCCTACGGCATATCCAAACTCCAAATTCTGGTGTGAGAGGAACCAAGAAGGGATGAGCAAACACAGTGTGGAAAGTTCCATGTGTTTTTCATTTTCTCCTGTCATTTTGCAGAAGCCACTTCATCTTTTCACCTAGGTGAAATTATATCAAATTCCCCTGCAACAGTAATTTTATGAAACTTCAGGATATTTTAGAATATCAAGCAAATGCAAATCTTCTTTTAAAGACAAAAAATTTTACAGTAGTTATCCAAAGACAGTGTGTTTGCATTTTTCCAGACTTATAATTAGATAAATTAGATCTTTATATTGTCTGCCAGGACAACTCCTACATGTAGCGTCTAGTCATTTTCTTCATCACTATTCTTGAAGACAGTAGAGTGAAAAAGTAATGAAACAGGTTTAAAGAGGACAAAATTTCATCTTTCCTTACTTATTATGCAATTAAGATAGAATTCATGAGTTTCAATGCATGTAAAAGAGTGTTTGAACCTTTCTTTTTTTTTTCCCCTAAAGCACTGCACTGAAAAAAAAAAGAGAAAAAAGAGGAAAAGAGAACTGGGGAAAGGGAGGGAAAAGAAAAAAAGGAGAAAAAGGGGAAAATGGGAAAAGAAGGAAAAGAGGAGACAGAAAAGAGAAGGAGAAGGAGGAAAAGAGGAAAGGAGGAAAGGAAAAGGGGGAAGGAAAAGGGGGAAGGAAAAGGAAAAGGAAAAGGAAAAGGAAAAGGAAAAGGAAAAGGAAAAGGAAAAGGAAAAGGAAAAGGAAAAGGAAAAGGAAAAGGAAAAGGAAAAGGAAAAGGAAAAGGAAAAGGAAAAGGAAAAGGAAAAGGAAAAAAGGAAAAGGGGAAAAGGGGAAAAGGGGAAAAGGGGAAAAGGAAAAGGAAAACGAAGATGAAAAGGAAAAGGGAAAAGGAAAGAGGAAAAAGGATGCAGATGCACAATAAAAATGTCTGAGTGGTTCTTGGAACCAGATAAACATAATGGGCTTATTTTACTTCTTTCCATCTATTCTTCCATTCCTGGCTGGAGCCCACAGAAACTTCCCATCTGGGATTGCTGGAAAACCCTGCCCAGTTTCCATGCCAGCGGGGTAGTGCATTTAGGTTGTTCCACCCCACATAATTCATCTTTAACAAGAATGCACCCTGTTCTTTTCAAACTTATGTGATAAAGAAAACTGGACATTTACATGTTTAGCTTCAGTTCTCAGTTATGAGTGAAGACAGAAATGAGCTGGAGGAGAAAAATCTTTATTCTTCTCTTCTGGCCAAAATCTCTGGTGTGTTCAGCCTCCCCTCCACTGGGGCAGCCTCTGCAGGAGCTACTCAGCCCCTGAAGTGGGAAAATTCCTCTTGGCAGGCTCAGCTTTACCTGAGTGAAACAGCTCTCCTCACCTGCCAAGGCTCTTGCTTCCTCTGCAGTAAAAGTTCATTATTTTTATGCTGTTAAAAGCAAGAGAATTGTGCTGCAAATGCTTCCTGCTGTGCCTGGGAAGGGGAGATGCTGATGGACGTGGAATCAGAGCAAATTCGCCTGAAGCTTGGTCCAAATGCTTGTGCACATGCAGAAATCCATACCTGAAATTCATTATTGGATTAAAGGTGCAGTGGGAAAGCAATGAGAAATCATTTCTTTGCTGCATGCAATAGCACAAGGCAGATTTGTTTTAAAAAAGATTTTCTACCTTTTCTACTGTTACTGTTTTGTAATATAGCACCAGCCTTGGATACAAGGTCAGGGTCCCTCCTCCAAAATAAGGAAATTCATAAGTAGAGGAGGAATCATATTTTTTCAGCCAAGTGTGCTCCAAACTGTGCTCAAAGGAAGGTTTATATATTTTAACCAGTGTCTGGCTAACATAAAGAACAAAGGTTTTCCAGTGATTTTGGTCTCACATGGTACAGTGTAAGGCTGTTTATTTCTGACATTGTGGTGTTTCTTAAACTAGAAAAAAATTTTTCTTTGCAAAACTTCATGGTAAAATGTAACATTTCAAGTAAAATAAAAGTGGTGAGGGTTTCAGTGTCAACCCTGCTTGTATTGACTAAACCCAGTAATTCTGGGTCTATGGTACTCTGAATTTTCCTAATAAAAAGATAAGTATTAAAATATAATAATAATACAGTGGAAATGTATAGCTGATAGAATATATTCCTCTTTTTGCATGCCCTGTGCTTATTTTTAAAATGCCCCTGCAGCTTTATGTAGTTCTGGCATTAATTTCCACTTCATGTATTTGAGCAAAGCAGAACAGATCAGGGAAGGAAAAAAGAAAACCACAATATTTGGACTAAAATTAAAATATATCAGCCTATTCTAACATTCTGCTGTAAATAATCAAGTTAATCTCACAGTGGGAGTGATTTGCATCAGTAGCCTGATGTCCTGAGGTGGTGGCCTTGAGGATGTTAATTGGCAGCAGGACAAAGCATTTTACACCCAGAAATGCCCAAGAGCAGTGCAAAGCAGCTGATGGCTCCAGTGTGAGCTCCCTGTACAAAACTCATGCCCATCAATACCAAAATTGTTGACCTCCACCTCAATGGACCTTTTTTTTCCTCCCACTGTGACAGTATTTTATATTTTCTAGTCTTAAAGGCCTCCTGGGGTAATTAAATAAACCATTCATAATAACTGGTCACTTTTAGCTTTGAAAAAACACTGAAGCTAGAGTCAGTCTGAATCTGTTGCATACCTTACATTTTTGTGATGCGTTTTCTTCATTTTTATTAATTGGGAACCACAACCTTTTTTTTTTCCTAGACCAGAGAGATTGTGCTGAGCACCATCTAAAGCTCAGAACTGGAACCCACTGCAGTTTCCCACAGCCACCAGCTTTAGGATCTGTCCATGTCCTAAATAATGTCATGATTTTCACCCTGTTTGCAGCCTGAAGTACCAGGAGTGGTCTGAGGGATGGTCAGGGTTGGTCTGGGCACAGCAGCTGCAAAAAGTGTCAAGTCCTGAGGAAAGCAGGATGTTGTTTATGGAGAACCAACCTCATCACCAAAGCCATCTTCTCTCTGAACTGGCCTTACTCTCCTCCCGCACATAAAATATGGATCATGAGTTTTACACTAGTTCAGTGCCCTAGAAGTCAAAAGCCTGACATATTAAAAGGTCTGTGACAGCAGGCAGATATTGTTGTCCGAGTCGTAAGCAAAAAAAAAAAATTTAAATTTCATTTACGGCAGCTTTTTATGGTCCTACACTAAATTTTCTTTATGTTTGTGCTTTGCTAGTGTATTTCCTCATGGATGCCTGGCACTGTGATGGATCTCACTGTGTCAGGTTTGTGAGTTTGGCCTCCCAGGCTCCAGCCCTCAGGAGAACCAGGGGAGGGGTGACAGAGACAGTAGGACAGCATTTTACTAAGCAGCATTTTACTCTATTAGAATTATCTTTTAATATTAGAATTATCTTCTTAGAGAGGTGAGACTTGAACACAATAAGTTTGCAATACAGGATGTAAACTAATTACCTTTTACATCCAATGCTACTGGGAATTTGAAGATCTGGATAAAATCATTAAAGGCCTCTGTAGAAAGCAGCTTCTAGATAGAAGCTAACTCTTTGTGTAGCTCCCCAAGAACCAAAAAACCACCAGCATTCATGTTATTGCTTTGAGGTATGTCGTCTTTAGGTCCAAGAAAGAAAAAGAAAAAAAAAAAAAGGCAGGCATCCCTTTCAAAACCAGACTTTTTAGTTCAAAATAGCTCAAACAGATCCATAAGCTTCATATAAACAATTTTTTTTCAAACTGTCAAAACAATCATTTTTTAATCTGTTCATTTGGTCTTCAGCTGGATGTAAACAATGGGGAATGCAGAGTTGAAACCAACAGGAAATCAACTCCATTCTCTCAAGAGCAGGAGAAATCCGATTTAGCCTAATAATGTCATATTTGTTTCCTCTGTGTGCTGCTGTTCCAACCATAAACACACAAAAAACCCCCACGTATTTCTAATATCTTCTGGTGATAATCTGTTCTACTCCCTGGTGAAAAACTGAGTTTATAGGACAGAGTTTTTGTGGGTGCCTGGGACAAAAACCAAAGAGGGGTTGTCAAGAGTAAAGTCACAGCAGACCAATGTAATTCCTTCTGTGACAGAGCTCTGCAGACAGACCTGTGTTTGCACATGCTCCAAGAATTGGTACTTGAATGATGCAGCTGAAATAAAAAGTTTAAAAAATTGTCTGAAATTGTCAACCCAAAAGGAAAGTGTAAAAAAAAAAATTAGGAGTAATTAGGCTAAGAAGAGCTGAGAAAGGCAATGATCCCCAAATTTTTGATAAAAGCTGTAAAAATAAAAGAGGATAATATGCCCTGGGCCAGATCAGTGTATTTTATATTTTATATATATTATATATATGTTTTATATTTTATGTAACATATTTTATATGTTTCTATTGATTAGAATTAAGCAACCTCACTGACAGTTATGGGATGCTGGAGGGCCAAAATTTCAAGGTTCAGTTTCATTTTTATGGAGATTGATACCTGCTGACAGCCAGTGGCTGGATGATCAGACATCTGACAGTTCTGGCAGGCAGGAAAATGGGGATGGAGACTCTGTGAAAATGAGGGGGTCACCAGTTTTTATGGAATTTTAGAAATCCAGCATGGAAAATTTTGCCACTGAGTGTATGAACCCTCCAGCATAAAACTGTACCCTACACTACAGTAAATAACAAACCCTACATTTGCCCCATGTTCACACTGACTGCAAGAAAACTTTTCAGTTTTGGCTAAAACTCAAGGAAGCCTATTTCTTTATTTATTTCTGGCTATGAAAAGACCTTTTTTTTTTTTCCCCCCCCCCCCCCCATATGGATCAACAGAAATTTGTGTTATGCAGTTTCCACATGTCAATACTCTTGAAACTGCTAATTGTGTGTGGTGCTGGCTTAATTAACACCCAAAAAATCATTACAGGAGTTTAATTTTCTGAGGTTATTTCCTCACCTTGATGTCCTGGGTAAGTGCTGCAGCTCCTTGCACTGACAGTGTGTGTGAAGTGACCACTTGCACTGAATTTTAGGGGTTACCTACATATAAGATTCTGAAATACAAATAAGACAAATACATTTCCCAAAAAAACCAACAAAAACACAGCAAGGGGAGGAGAGTTGTAGATTTGCTCACTTGAATGAGAAATCCATAGAAATGCTGGTGTTCCTGTGGGGAGGATATATAATACATCCATTTCTCATGTTCTGATTTGGTAGAAATCCCAATTTCCATTACAGGATTCATTTTCTAAACTGCAGTTTCTTGGTCACAGGTGCATACATTCAATCTCTGCTGAGCTGATGTGTCTCAGGCTCTTCTTGTCTCTTTTGGGAGCAAGGAGGTCCCTCCCTGGGGGCAGAACTTATTCCAGAGAATAGGTTTTCCTATTCCCAAACCAGTGGGTTTGGGAGAGCAGCCACACCATCATTCCTTGTAATTAATTAATTCCTTGCAATGGAAATTAATATCCCCACTCAGGCTCCACACGGGTGGGGAACAGAATCACCAAGGTCAAGCTGAGGCTCCTCAGCTCTGCCTTCCCACATAGTAACCAGATTTTAACCTTCTGACAATGGAAGTTTTTGCCTCCCTCCCTTTTTTAAGCTGAATTTGTTAAGGTTTGGGAGCGGGTGTTTTGTCTAGTGGCAGAGCACGGGGCTGGAGTCAGAAATTGAGGCTCAGTCTGTGCTTTGGGAGCAGCAAGGAGCCTCAGGACAGCTTTTGTCCATTCAGGAGCAGATGGGATGGATTAATCTTTGATGGGTTTGTAAGGTCCAGGGCTGAGGAAGACGCCCTGCCATGAACTAAAGATCAGCACTGTAAAGTGTAAAAGAAAGGGGAGATGAATATTGAGCTCTCACTATGAATTTCAGTGAGGTTTGGTAGGGAAATAAAAAGAAAAAAAAAACAAATTAACAAAGTTGCAAGGTAATTCAAAGCTGCACAAAGCACATACCCAGTCCATTTTCCTCAGCAAAATCACCCCTGGCCACCCCTGGCAGGGTGAAATTAATGCTAATCAGTTGCAGGCTTGTACTGCAGATGAACTCCAACAAAAAAATCAGCTTCTATGCAGTCTGCTCAAATATAGCCCAAAGCTAATATTACAGTTTAGTGCATATTTATGTTATAAAAACATTATGTCCCAAACTGTCAAACTCAGATTTGTAACACATTTACATACACAGTCTAGCCCCCTTGAAAAGAGATTTTAGAAACCTTGAGGAATCAAATCTGTTTAAATAGTTGTCAATTAGTTGCTCAGTTGTTAGAAGTATGTAAGTTTATATCTTGATCTTTCCTCCTTGTAGGGTGTTTTTTTAATGTACATGCAAATCAAACACATGTATTGGAAAAGGAGCCTGTTGTCTGGGGAAATGTAGTTCTGAAAAAAAAAAAAAAAAGTATTAGATTTCTAAAAAAGTAAAAAGGCTCAGATTCCTATTAAATTTGGTAAATTTTTATTATACCCAGTGATATTTCTATCCATGAGCGCTGATGAGGAATGGATTTTTTTTTTTTTAACAAAGATATAATGAAGAAAAACAGAGATACAGAGATATAGGAAACATCTTCAGTGTCTTGTTTATGAAGTTGAATTTAACACACGTTGTGTTACATTACATTCATACACTGCAGCTCAGAACAACACAACAGAAAAGCCCTTTAACAAAGGATTTACAAAAGGAAGGAACTGAAGCAGACTCTCTAACTAATTGATGAAGGAGAGCAAAATATTGTTTATTATTACCCTGCCAAGTTTACATTTTCATGCTTTATTTTCTTGGACCAAGTCTCTGACATTTAGTAATAGCAAAGATTTTGTTAAACAGAAATAACACTTGGATGACACAAGGATAAGGGAGGGAAGAGGAAGCAAGGGGACTTTAGGAAACTGGTGGAATAGATACAGAAATGGGTTAGAATGTTCTGAAAGAAGAGTGGCTTCATCACATGGTGACTGCCTTGTTTGACCACTGGGTAATTTCTCTCTCCTATTCTGCACTGCCCTGAGGACAATGAAATTCTTATAGGCAAGAGGATCCAACAGCAGGAAAAAAGTAAAAAGGAAGGTGGATATTTATACCAGTGCAAAGTTTTTGGCTTATGTGTTGTCTTGTCTTTAGTCCCCGAGTCCTACAGCACTTAGTTCTACAGAGATAACTGAGGATAAACATTCTGAGCTGGATCTTCTCTAATACCATTTTATTTCAGCTTATTATGAGACTACGGGCTAAAGCCAACCGTAAAATTTAGATCTGGGTTAAGTTTCTAAGCCCTGCCAAATATTAGGGTGGTCTGAGCCAAGCTCTTGTTTCAAGTCTCTCTTTTCTGTTTTATCAAACCCACATGGGTAGGTGGTTCCTCAGTGCTTTCTGAAACGTCTTTCACGCTCCAAGGAACAGTGTTTAACTTCTGATATTTTCCATAAAATCAGAAGTTGCAGAAGAAAAGAAAAAAAAATCTGTCAGGTAAGGGCAGGGGTTAGATGTTGGTTTTGAAACCATCCTGGAGGTGTCCCCTGCTGTGAGTTCTCTCTGCTGTAGCTGTCTGGGCAGCAATGAGCACCAGGCAGGGCTTGGGGACAGGCTGTGTCCTTGTCCCCTGGGCAGGACAGAGCATTTGGCAGGGCCATGCTCCTTGCACAGTGACCCAACCTCAGGGTGAGCTGCAGGGGCAGGGAGGGAAGGTGGTGTCGTGGTGTCACACATGGTTTCCCACCAGGGCTGTGCCACCATCTGTGCCAGGGAAAACCTGTCCTCTGTGAGGAGCCCTCCCTCCCTGAGTGGTGGCAAACAGCCCAAAAACAGCAGAAAAGTCTCCCACACAACTTCACTGATTTCACATCCCCATAGCTACTCCTGCTTTAAAACCCCAGCATGCTAAAATTGTGCCTCCTACCAGATAAGCCTTGAAACGCTGTTGTTAAGGCAGACATTCCCATTACTGGGATAATGTGAAATTGGAAAAAAAGAAGGAAAAAAATCCACTCAAAAAACCCCACAAAAAATGCAAACAAAAAGCAACTGTCTTGAGCCTTTCAGGAAATCTTGGCCAGGGCTTGTGCAAAGAACACAATGCTCTTTTATGTCGATCAAAACATTTTGTCTTAATGTCTATGAGTCAAAAGAAATAATTCATAGAAATTCAACGATTCATTCAATAATTTCTTCTTTCTAAATAGCTGCCAGGAACTTCCCTGCTCTCATTCCACACTAAAAAACCCACCAAACCAACTAACCAACAAACAAAAACACACACGAACAAAAAAAAAACCAAACAACAACAACAACACAACAAAGAAACAATCACCCTAACAAACAAAATTAAAATAAGCAAAGAAAAAAAGTCCCAAACAAATAAATTCAAAAAGTAGAGCTATCCTAGGGTTTAATTGCCTCTTTTTAAAATGAGAAATTGACCTTACAATGGATAAATAGGAATTTTCTATGGAAAATGTGTAGTTTCATAATTCCAGGTAGCTCTGCTCCTCCTTTAAGCACTATGAGAGCAGGGGAACGACAGCAAGGTGCAGGTGGAAGCAGCATGCAGACCTGGCAGGATTCCCACTGGGAAGTGGATGAGGCCATGGGGAGATGATCCAGCTGGGTAAGGCAGCACAGAATCACAGAATCAATCACAGAATCAATCAAAGAATCACAGAATCAATCACAGAATCACAGAATCAATCACAGAATCACAGAATCAATCACAGAATCAATCACAGAATCACAGAATCAATCACAGAATCACAGAATCAATCACAGAATCACAGAATGACAGAATCAATCACAGAATCACAATGAACTAGGTTGGGAAAGACCTTCAAGACTATCTAGTCCAAGCCATGACCTAACACCTGCTCATCAACTAAACCCTGGCACCCAGTGCCACATCCAGTCTTTTTTAAACACGTCCAGGATGGTGACTCAACAACCTCCCTGGGCAGCCATTCCAGTGACCAATCCCTCTATCAGTGAAGAATTTCCTTCCAATATCCCACCTAAATTTTCCTTGGCACAGCTGAAGAGGTAAAGCCCTAACCTCTTCCCAAAACCAGTGCTGCTGCGCTGCTGGGGCGTTTTTCCCCTGAAATAAACCACCACTGTTGCACATCATGGATCCAAACCTTACCTCCCCTTCATTCCTCCTCCTGGTGGCTGCCAAAGCTTCTCCCAGCTCTCTCAGTGCCTGCTAACTCCTCTTTCCTTGCTCTAGGTGTGGTGTTCCCCTACTCCCCGCGGCTGGGGCGGTACAACCTGAACTTCCACGAGGCGCAGCGGGCGTGCGCGGAGCAGGACTCGGTGATGGCCTCCTTTGACCAGCTCTACGACGCCTGGAGGTCGGGGCTGGACTGGTGCAACGCCGGCTGGCTCAGCGACGGCTCCGTGCAGTACCCCATCACCAAGCCCCGGGAGCCCTGTGGGGGCAGGAACACCGTGCCTGGAGTCAGGAATTACGGCTTCTGGGACAAGGACAAGAGCCACTACGACGTCTTCTGCTTCACGTCCAACTTCAACGGTGAGAGCGTTTCCTTCGCCCTTCCCTTGTAAACAGCAGTGTATAGGCAAGGTACTCCAGGGGCAGAAAGGGGTGTTTGGTTGGTCAAAACCTCGTGTTAAACCTGGAAAATGCTAGGAATGAAAAAATCAAGGTAATAAAATCATTGTGGAGTTTTCAAGGGTACACGCGCAGAGTAAAGTCGTGTTTGCCACACGGTAGTTTTTACAACTCAGGACATGTCCTGGATTTTTTAATATCTCCCCTTTGTTAAAAGAGGAGATTAAAATTTATACATTCCCCATTAAAATTTATACACACCCTTTTAATGATGGCATGTAACCAGTTCAATTCAGTTAAAGCAATGAAGGAACCTGCAGGTCATTTACTGAGGTTTCCTGCTGAAGTCAATAATAATTCTGTTCCTATTGGTTAAATATGTCACCAAAACAGAATTTTGATCATCACTGCACCTATTCTGCAGTGTCAAGCAGCTCCTGCTCATGTACCAGGTCTAATTTAACTAATAGTTCCCCATCAACAGATGTATTTCTAGCTTTTTTCCTTCATAATTTAGATTTCTAATCCTCTTATGCTGCCAAGCCACCAATCACTTTTGCTCTGAGGTTGGACTTCTGTAAATCTTACTTTAGCAACTGCAAGCTTTTTTTTGCCATATAGTTGATATATAGTTGATTTTTTTTTTTCTTAAAGTATGAAATGAAATTAAACGACCAGTCTCAGCTTGCTAAAATTTCAGGGTTTTCCTAGCGTCAGGAAAAGATTTAGAAAGCATTGCTGTGAATGTCCAATCCTCTACAGTGTCCTACTTGAGGATATTTCCTACACAACTCTGCATAGGTTTGGCTTGCAGCCCACTCAGACCATGGAGAATGGCCTTTTTATATTTATGCACAGATTGCTTAGCCACAGTGAAGCAGTTTTATCCTACAGCACAACAAAAAACTAAACATAAACCTTGGTTTCTGAAGATGTGCTCCAGTGCTAAGTCTGCACCACCCCTCACAGAAAAAGACCCATCCAAAAAAAAAAAAGGAAAAAAAAAAGGGGGAAAAAAAGGAAGAAGGAATGAAAACAAACAAAAAACCCTACCCTCTAAAAACAAAACAAAACAAACAAAGAAAACCTACCGCAAAATAAAAGAAATACACACAAGAATAAAACCCCCACCAAAAAAAAAAAATACAACAGGGAAACTCAAACACATCCTCAAGCCAACAGTATTACATTAGGTTCAAAGTGATCTGAAACAAAGGTTTGGCTGATTTTTTAATCATACTGCTTCATCCCATTAAATGCTGGCTCAATTTTTCTTGCTTCATTTACCCGAGGTGAAATCCTGTATGAACTCATCTCTTCTATACAGATTTAACCTTGTACTGTAGAAATATCACCAAGGTATTAAATAATCAAACAAAAATAATTAAAATGTGATAGCTGCACTTTTTTTCTAATGCTTGCAGAGTAAAACCTTTGTGACTTACTGCTCACTGATCACCAAGGTTTTACATGCCAGAAATTGAACAGCATCTCTTAAGGAACAAGAAGCATAATTTCTGGGGAAAAAAAGGAAAGAATAGTAAGATAACTGGCTTAAAAACAAGAAATAACTAAGATAAATATTGTCTGTGCACTGATACAAGGAGAAAGAAAGAGGGAGAAGAAGAGTATAAGGGAGGAGAGCAATGGAAGACAAGACACTGGCATGAATTTCAGCCTTGAGGAGTCTTGAAATTGACCTGGAGACAGCAATGAGGAGAGAGAGAAAGAAGTGTATAAAAATACATATTTTATATATTTATGCATGTGCATTTACTTATTAATATATATATGTATGTATTTTTATACATATATATATAAATATATATTATATTGATATAGATTATACAAATATAGACATAGATATTGATATATAGATGATATATAGATATATAGATAGATATAGAGAGATATAGATAGATTAGATAGATATAGATAGATTATATAGATGATATAGATATAGAAATAGAAATAGAAATAGATAGATATAGATTAGATATAGATATAGATATAGATGATATAGATAGATATAGATATAGATATAGATATAGATATAGATATAGATATAGATATAGATATAGATATAGATATAGATATAGATATAGATAGAGATAGATATAGATATAGATATAGATATATAGATATAGATGATATAGATTAGATATAGATATAGATATAGATATAGATATAGATATAGATATAGATGATATAGATAGATATAGATATAGATATAGATATAGATATAGATATAGATATATAGATTATATAGATATAGATATAGATATAGATATAGATAGATATAGATATAGATATAGATATAGATGATATAGATATAGATAGATATAGATATAGATATAGATATAGATATAGATATAGATATAGATATAGATATAGATATAGATATAGATATAGATATAGATTAGATATAGATATAGATATAGATAGATATAGATATAGATATAGATATAGATATAGATATAGATATAGATAGATAGATATAGATATGGATATAGATGATATAGATAGATATAGGTAGATATTCCCCACAACTCAGTGTCAAATGTCACTCATGACATCAGCTGAAAATCCAGATTTCTGCTCCTCTCAGCTTCCACTCCCTTAAGTCAGCAGATTACATTTTCCTCACATGTCCCTGCTGTGCTCTCCACTACTCCTTGTCCCAAACTCACCTCCATAACCACAACTAACCCAGCCACTCATCCAGCTCCCTGTTTTCAGCACAGCATTTTGGATAAGGTTGTTTAATGGTGTATGTTAGCTCCCTCACTGCAGAGGGAAAAGGTTAAAATGACCCATTTTGTCACCAGGCTGGGATTGGCAGTTGTCAAAGATAGCAGTTGCAGGCAAAAAAAAAAAAAACAAACAAAAACTACCAAAACCAAACCAAAACAAAAAAAAAAGAAGGGAAAAAAAAAAAACGGGGGAAAAAAATGGGGAAAAAAAAGAAAAAAAAAAAAGAAACAAAACCAAAACCTGTTACTGCAAGATCCAATATTGATTCTCTCAGCTCAGGAAGAGCCAAGGAAAATGAGAGGTGGTTGGGACACAGTGCATTCCCAGTGGCTGCTGGAGTCTCCTGATAGTAGGAAACAGAGGAGCCTTCAACTTTATGTAATGGAGATGGGAAAATTCCAATGCCCACAGGAGCAGGGAAGGATAAGGAGAATTAAAAAAAAAAAGTTTTGGGACCTTTTATAAAAAAAGAGGTAAGGTGAGGTTTAGATACCTTCTGAATGGCTTCTCTGTAGCGAAGAAAATTTCCCAAATGCATTACAATCTCGGAGATTATTAAAAAAAATATTAAATTTAAAATCATTCAGCTGTAAAAGCAAAAATAACTTGGTCTGAAGTACATGCAAAGCTGGTTTTTTACCTTAAAAAGAAAAGTAAAAGCCATGGTATTTAGCCATTCAGTTAAAAAAATGAAGCTGTAATCCTCAATGCAGTGAATTCAATTCCAGGTGCAGTGTTTTCCCTGTGGAATTATTGGATCCCAACAGTGATGGCCTGAATACACAAAAAACAATGGTTAAAAATGAAGGAATTATATCATTAGTAAAAAAATTTACATGCTGTTCTGTTACCAAGGAAATAGTTTGAGCAAAGCTGCAATACCAAATAATCTGGTTACTTTATGAAATTATCCTCTACGATGCCTTTTCATAGAGTAAGGAAAATACAATTTGCACATTTTGTTCTGCCTGTGTAGCTGATTTATACTCAAATCTTTCTGTTGGTTCATACGAGATTTGTTCATGTTTTGCATCCAAGAACACAAAATAATTTCATACCCTTTATATCTAATAGTAAGAGCAAGCTACCAGTTTATAAGGATATGGAGTGATGTGTTTCATAAAACAAAGCGTAATTTCATAAAACAAAAAGTAACACCAGCCTGATGCTGAGAAATCCATCAGAATATTTTGAAATAACAAAATATTTTCTGCCTGCACTGGATGGCAATATGTTTCTCAATCTGTTTTTACATTCCTTCTGCTGATAAGGGCTATTGAAAATGAATGTACACAAATGGGAAAAGTCTAACTTAAATTTGAAAATTCCACATTGGAATTTCCTGGAGTCTGAGGACTTTGATCTCTCACAACCAATTTCTCCTTCATTTGTCCTGCCCAGAGGAAACCACCTTAGTCCATGTCATCTTTAGAAAAGCTGTGGGTTCCTGCCCTGTGTGGTGGCACAACCTGACGTCATCCAAAGTTTTTCCAGGGCTGCAGATCACCCCAATTTCTCTCCTTTCCTTGTCCCAAGGAATGGGGATGCTCCTCCCCCATGCCATCTCTCCAGGTGACTAATTTGAGGAAATAAATGCTGATTAATCCTTTTGTTGCAACCTTCCCCACTGAGCTTAATAGCCATAAACCAAGCAATGTGTAATAGAAGAGCTGAGTGGTTATTTTTTATTTATTTTCAAAGGTCTTCTGAAGGACAACAGTGCTTTGCTTTTTGAAGGAAAATCCCTGAGAATCTTTCGCACTGAAAAGTGCTAAAAGAGCTAAATGTAAATTTATTTATCAGGTCCTCTATAATTAAGCATTTTTGAAGAAAATAAACCAAAGTACAAGTACAGCTTGCAGTACACTTTCCCCTCATTAACATGCATTTTGTTACATACTTTGTCCACAGAACCATAGTGCATAATTGATCTTTCATCAGCTCTAGGAAAATTTTTAAAAAATCTTGTTTTAACAAAGTTAAGAACACGAAGAATAAAGTTTTGAGAGCGTGTTAAAAGCACAGCTGTGAGCCTCCTGTTTACTACAGCAGTGCATGGCACAAACAAACCACCTCTGCCATTTAAATGGGAGAAAGCTGTGGAAAGTCCTGTCTGAAATAATGCTGACTGTTCATTTGACTATTTCAGAGTATTTTATCACTGGGAGCATGTAGCAACTGCTCCAAAAAAGAGAAATTGATCCCAAAATAAAATCACACACCCTTTATTAGGAGTGGTTGCTTCTGACTCACCAGAGTAATTACTGATATTGGTGTGTTTAATTTTTTTTTTTTCTCACATATTTAATTCAAAATTAGTTATTTGAGAGGACCACTGGATGTCAAAATATTTACCAGGTCTTAAATATCTCTCTCCATTTTTTTTCTTTTTTATTTTTTTTTAATAAAAGTAACTCACTAATAAACCTCTCAATTGAGCACTAAGCTTGAAGAAATCTCCAAGTGTGATTCATCCCTCAAAATTCCACAGTCACAAGGGTGTGGGGTGTGTAGGTCAGTGGCTGGAGTTTTCCTCTTTCAGCTGCTCTGTTACACACAAAATCCTAAAATAGCTGTTATGCATGGGGTTTGACCACAAACCCTCTGCCCCATGGTTTTGGTGTGAGGAGTCAAATCAGGCAGGATCCTCTGCAGAAGTGACCCAACCACCAGACATTAATGAGAGAGAGACAAAATTCCTCCCTATCCTTCCACAACAGTTAATAAATTCTGGATTGACCAGTTAGGGACCTCATCCCAACCATTTTCAGTGGGGAAAACTGCAAATCTGTACTGAGTTTATTAATGGAATTCTATGTAATCAGACATTCTGGATGCACATTGCACCCCTGTGGGGCTTCCTATTAAATTTCTCTTGTTGGAGGGAGGAGCAGAGTATAGGAGTTTTTATTATTGATGTCATATGTCAAAAGCCTGACCTTACTGGAAATCCCTAGGAAATTACATTCCACTGACATATGGTTTGAGGAGGAGCTCATAAACTAGGAGAAGTTTACCCACCATCAGCTCAAACCCCTTTTCCCCTAAATCAGAAATCCTGTTTGCTTTGGGGAAACCTCTTAACAGTGTATCAGTAACAGGATTCCATTTAGCAAACATTCCCTTGGGCAGCACGCTGTAAATGTTCTCAGCTTGCCAAAACAGAGTTTAAAAAAAGTGTTTTACAAAAGCATGATTACCTATTCCCGATAGTTTTCTGTGCAAATTCTGTAGAGACTGTCTCTGACAACAATGAAATTTTTATAAATTTTCTTTTCCACCACAGCTGCAATGTAAATGCTTTTTTAAAAAACAGTTCTTGTCTTGATATACAATTTCCAACCTTTAGACAAGGTTAATTCAATTATCTTTAAATTGTGATCTGACCTGACTTTCCTTCATTTAGAAAAACAAAAATTCCTGTTTGATTTTTGCAGGAAAATGAAGCTGACATAACTCTTACCTTGCTCACCACTTTTTCTTCACTGACAAAATAATCTCATACTAGGCATAGTTCTGTGTATCTACCTGATTTTTGTGAGGCATAAAATGAACATTTTCCTCAAGTACATTCTTAATTGAGCAGTAAAGAGTGTGTTCTGGAATTAGAAGGTGCCGACAAAAATAAAATCCTTCCTTCTTTTCATCTGACTCTCCTCTGCAGGAACGGGCAGATTGAAAAGTTGTGAATTTATTTGGAAATTACCGAATGTCTTCAAAGAAACATGATTCTTCTGCAGTCCATCTGGCTGTCAATTCAGTGATGATAAATAACCCCAAGTATAATGAACGAAATGCTTACAATGAGTGTTTATTGCCTTGATAAGTGGAATCAATATTAATATTATTGCTGTGTATGGATTAGTAGGGGAGACTTTGCCTTTTCGGCTTTATTTTCTGGCATACATTTTCATTACCTTGGGGCAGGGAACATTTTTCTTAGCAGCACTCTCAGTTCAGTCCTGTGTTGTGGTAAGGAAATACCCTTTGATGCCTAAAGAGAAACAGAGCTGCAGAACTGCTGGTGAAGGCGTACAACAAACAAAATTTTGCTCCACCACAGGCTCAAACTCTCCTCCTGAGAAGCTGTTTGATACCTTGGCTTTCTCACAAAAAAAAAAAAAAAATTTTTTTGTTTGTATTTAATCAGAAACAAGTTCACCACCTTGTCAGAGAGCAAAAGAGCACATGTTACCTGCAGCTGCCCTCCCCTAAATGCTATCACTGAATATGACTTCAGGTGGTGATGCCATCCTTTGATAATAGAAGAAATAAATATGGCATTGCCTTTTGTGGTTTTTTTGTTTAAATAATCTGTTTTCTGTACCAGGGCTGTTTGTTGAGTAAGCTTATTTTTCTTCCTGATACTTATCAACTCACCATACAAAATCAAATCACAATATTTTCAACAACACAACGTCCAACTGGCACAGACCCAAATTAACCACTGTTTGACGTGACCCTTCAACAGAACATCTCCATTTCTCCTCGAAAATCAGTGTTATAGTATTGTTGCCTGAAATCAAAGCAGAAAAAAAGGCTTGCCACAGTATTAAAATGTTAAGATAAAAAAAAGAAATTCCTTATTGGAAGCTTCCATATGTATTTATAGTCATGGGCTATGGGCCCAACGCTATTGAATTTCTAGAGTTTTATAAGGTTAATTAATTAGTATATCTAAGAGGTGCATTCAATAGGAGATTCAGTTTCCCCTTGGGGTGGTGCAAGGGCTTCTATGCCCCAATTCCTGTTATGTCTTCTTGTGGGTCTTCTACTTGAAAATAAGACCAAACAGTATTTCAGGAATTGTGTTGGAAGGTCAGCTTATTACTCTAAAATCTAAGAGAAAGGGTAGGAAAAATACCAGGAGCTATATAACTGGCATACAGAGTAGTGGATGTATAAAAAGTGCATGAAAAGTAAAAAACTTTAAGCAACAGCATTGAGGTCACAGAATCACCTGAAAGGTGGCTGTGGTCAGGTGGGGTTGGTCGGGTGGGTTGATCACCAGAGGTGGGTTGATCACCTCTGACAGAACCAGAGTGTCAGCGTTCAGGAACACAAATAATCACAGGATATGATTCTATGCAGGTGCTTTTATTGAGAGCTCTGGGAATCAGGGGTACAGACCCAAATCTGACTCCAACACGGCTTTTGAGCTGAACATATTTTATATTCTATCATTATATCACTTACATATTAATTATTAAACTTATATTGTTCTATTGCATACATTGACATGAGTTTCTCGTGATCTTTCTTAGGCCCCTGACCGCAGTTTCTCATGATTATTCTTACAATTAAACAGTAATTATATTTAATTACTAAACCATCATCACATCTAACAATTATCTCATTTATCATGTACTAGCTACATAGTGCAGTTCTAGCAAGGTACAAGGTCTACATGTACTTAGGGTATTTATTTTTCTTTTCAGGGCCTACTAAGCTTAATTTTCCTTTTAACCCTAAATCCCCATGATTTTAAAACCCTTTTACTATCAAGAGGATACAGTCTTAAGCTTCTGCAAGGGAAATATGTGTTGGATATAAGGAAGAAGTTTTTTACAGAAAGGGTGATAAAGCTCTGGAATGGCTGCCCAGGGAGGTGGTGGAGTCACCATCCCTGGGTGTGTTAAAACAAGCCTCGATGTGGCACTGGGTGCCAAGGTTTGGTTGAGGTGTTAGGGTCGGTCAATGATCTTGAAGGTCTCTTCCAACTTGGTCATCCTGTGAATTCTGTGATTCTGGTCATTCTGTGAATTATCTGATTCTGTAACTCTGTGCTCACAGGATTTAAGACTGGAAAAACACCTCCATCACCATCGACGCCCAATCTCCGCGCCACTAACCACTCCACCTTCCTCCTTTCCTTTCCAGGTCGCTTCTACTACCTGATCCACCCCACCAAGCTGACCTACGACGAGGCCGTGCAGGCGTGCCTGAAGGATGGTTCCCAGATCGCCAAGGTGGGGCAGATCTTCGCGGCCTGGAAGCTGCTGGGCTACGACCGCTGCGACGCGGGCTGGCTGGCGGACGGCAGCGTGCGCTACCCCATCTCGCGGCCGCGGAAGCGCTGCAGCCCCAGCGAGGCCGCCGTGCGCTTCGTCGGCTTCCCCGACAAGAAGCACAAGCTGTACGGTGTCTATTGCTTCAGGGCCTACAACTGAGAGGGTATACCTAGAGCGTGAAAGTTGTTGGTGGTTTTTGTTGCTTTTTTTTTTTTTTTTAAACGTGTGAAAGATGTCTTTTTTTTTTTATTTTTGGGTATGAACTCATGCAAGCTACCAAAACTGTGATAAACCTCTTTTACATACTGTAAAGAGTCATTTTCGTAGACACTCCCTCCCCCAAACCCATTGGTTTGTTTTTGGTTTTGTTTTGTTTTAGTGTTTTGTTTTTTGATTTTTTTTTTTTTTTGTGAGAATATCATTCCATAGATATTTTAAATTAATATAATTTAATGGGAGCTCTAGGTAAGGAACTTTTAGATTCAAATTCTTTAAGCTATATCATCCCAAAAAATTTATAATTTTCATGAATGGGGCATGCAATAGAGCTTGACAATTGCTAGGGCACAATTATGGAGTGTAAGGCTACTCAAAGCAGAAGCTTTTAAAAGCACAGATTTTACATATTTGTACCAGTTTGAGAAACACTGCAAATTGATTATGACAGGAATTTTAAAATAAAACTATCTTTTTGTTAAAGGGGATCAGTGAGGTTTCGCAAAGAAATCTCACAACAATATATGTTAGCAAATAACTCTTTTCACTGGTTCACATGGGAACAACGGAGAGTTTAATAAAAGCAGCTAAAACGGTCCACAAAAATAGGACTAGTTTTACAGTTTCAAACCTTGCCTTTCTGAAAAATAAGCTCATGGTCCCATGCATAGGAAGAAGCACAATTAATTCTCCTGGACATTTCAATTGTGTTTTTGTCGTGTATAAATCATTGAGTGAATAACTAACTAATGAGAAAACTCTTCTTTTCTTCTTCTCTCCAATTAAAGATGCCTGAGAAGTGTTGTATTACCTTTGAGTAGCTTTACTGAGCTATTTTTAAACTCTTAAAGGCCATTTGCTAAGCAGCATAATAGCATCTACTCAGGGCAGTTGTATAAATGAACTGCTGGACAGAGAAATTGTAAACTTTAGCAGCTTGATTTTACATTAGCCTTTGAAATGTTATTGTCTTAATTAAAGAACATTACAATATTTAATATTTCTTAGCTATTTACACATCACAAGAAACAAAAATTAGAAAAAAAATATTTTAAATGGTGAAGTCTTGAACAAAGACTATGAGACAAAATCTGAAACCAGCCATTAAGTTTTAGAAGAGAAAAAGAAAAAAAAAACCATTTCCTTATGTCTTATTTGTATCTAAAAAGTACATCTGTTTTTTAAACTATCAATGAAATAATATAGTATCATTAGCCCTGAATTATGTAGTTAGTCCTCCTTAGAGTTAAGAGAAAATAAAGCTATTGAAATACTTTTCACTAAATCTGCAGTGGTCTAGGTGGAAGATGTTTACCTAAATCTGCCAGTGTCAGAGAAAAACACGCACTGTGCATGGTGCCTAGGATTTTCAGAGCTGCCTAAAGCACTAGGTCCTCCCTAAGTACCAGATTGAGGGAATTTGGGATTTCTAATGCAAACTCACTTTGGATGCAGCAATTCTTGGTGCTCATCTTCAGCTACCTTAATGCAACCAGTTTTTCAGAGAGCAGGTGCTCAAGGCTTTCTGAAAATTTGCTCCACTTATGGTGTCTCAAGCTGGATATCAAAAAAAAAAAAAAAAATATACGCAGAGAGGCCACTGATTAAAAGTGTCTTGGTCTCGGGTAATCTCTTCAGCGGTTTTTGATGTTCTATATCCAGTATTGGTTCTACCACTTAAAAATGGAGAACTCTTTTTCCTACTCTACGCTCGCTGACTACGAAGAACTCAGAGGACCAACATTTGTATTTACTCAAAGTTTTATAGCTGCCCACTGTTTCCATAATTTAAACGAGGTATAGTGATATTAATCCAACTAGGACACAACCTGTATGCTTTCATGGATGGTTTGCTGTAGCTATTTTCCCGTGAACAGTAAATAAATCTCTTTCCCAGAGTGGTTGTGGTCCTGTTTTAAGACTCTGTGAGCAAACCAGGGACAAGATATGGCAAGGAGCTGCAGCGTAAGATATATTTATTGGAGTTCATTCCCACTGAACTCAGAAGCAAATTTCCGTCCTTCTGGGGATATTTGCATCCTCTGTGGATATCTGTTCGTACTTTACAGATGGAGCAATCTCAGTGCCAAACCCCACCTGCCTCTTTTTATTCTGTTAGGAATTGGATTTTCTCAAAATGGTATCCCTTAGCTATAAATAGAGACTTACTTTAGGTCAAGTCCCTAAAACCATGAAACTTTTCTTGAACAGCCATTTTTAAATCAGTGCCCATTTCACACATTTTCTCAGACCATTCAGAGCCTTCTCTGAAACCTTTGCAGAAAAGAAATGGAAATGTTAATAGAAATGTAAAATACCCAACCAGAAAGGCATTGACCATGATCAACAGGAATATATGTCATTCCTCCATCCAACCTTCAGAAAATTTGAAAAGCCTGCAGTTTTTTTTCTGAAGTTTGGACAGAGAGGTTGTGGGGTGGGAGAAGCTGTAGAGAATATCCAAGTATTACCACAGCTAGATCCAGAGTTGCTGTAAAGAGGGGAGCCTTACGTAGCTGGCTCTATCCTCCCCAAAGATCTGCTACATCTGGATGAGGCTGCATGGTTTTCTTATTGCACAGAGGTGAAGAGACCCTCATGAAATTTTCTTTTTTTTGTACCTCTCCAAAGAAACCCCTTACAGGGTTTCACCCAGACACATTTTTTTTTTTCTTTAATTTTTTTTTTTGCAGGAATGGGGATTATATTTTGCCTGCATTAAAAAAAAAAAAAAGTGTACACATCCAACCCACTCGTGGGGCTGGCTGAAGTGCCCTCACTGCTAGACCAAAGGCACTGCGGGAAAGGCCAAGCTCAGCCTTTCACCAACTTTGCAACGCTCTGGAGATGGCTGGTCAGGTCCTAAATCACAGCAATCTCAGGCTTGCTCTTGTTTTTCTGCCTTTTTGTGTCCACATCTTCCCCGGGCCAGCCACGGTCCGGGCGTAGCATCCCCTGACCCTCCCCTGCTTCCAGCATCCCCCAAATCCCAGCACAACCCCAGGATGGTGGCTGAGCAGGCTCTGCACCACCCACCCAGGGGGCTCCCCCTGTTTTGGCAGCATGAGGAGGGTGACTTGGGGGTCAGGGTGTCCAGAGGGACACCGAGTTGATGGCTGTGACCACAGATGGCCGAATTTTACTGCTGGGTTTTGTTGCCCGTGAGTTCGCGCGGGAGACGTCGCGCGCTCGGTGTCAAAATTTCACGTGTGGAGTCACAGGGTGTGGGCTCACACCCGCCGTGTTGCCCACCAGGAGCTCGGTAGTCTAATTTGGGATCAGGCTAGATTTAGGTCTGTGTACCCATATACAACGTTACATCCTTTTATAAAAGCTGTTCTGCTCGTCTGGTGAAAACGCGTTTGTGTGGAAGAGAAAAAAATAAGTGTGTAAAAAAATAAATAGTTCTAATGTAAGCACGTATAAAAACCATATGAAATGTGTATGATTACCTGAGAAGTGGGCACAAATAAAAAAAAAAGAAGACACGAATTGTATTTATTTTTACAGCTAATGACTCCATTTCCTTTTGTAATGTCAAATGTCAGGCTGTTTTCTTATTTTCAACTCAGCTAGCTAGGTGCTTGAATAAAAACTTTGAAAAGCAGCTTAATAACTGGATTAAAGCCTGTGCTATTTTATGTTCATGAGAGAATACTGTTAGCATCGTGTTCTCTATCATTATCTTCTATTTCACAATGTATCAGAATTTTAATGCCCATGAATTAACAACAATTAAATCACATTGTTCTTTCGAATATCATGGCTTCTCCTTATTGACTGACCATTCTTCTACTTGTGTCCCAGAAAACACAAATAGGGAAAGGAATAGATCAAAGTATGAAAATACTTATTTTGCCATAGTAAACAACATGATTATGAAACTAAGGGGTGGGAGGGGAAATACTACTCTGTGAATATGATTCACAAAGAAAATAAAGACAATTGTATTGCAAATCCTTTGGTTTATGCTTCTTTGAAGCATTTTTAAAGTAGAAGTGCAAGTGCCAATTTCTTCTTTGTGTTTTCTGCCATCTTCTAAAATAAAATAAACCATAAATAAAGAAGGTGCTTTTTAAATTATTTTCATAGTTATGGTTGATATGACGCTGCACATGCATCTCTAGAAATTGGATGCACAACAGTGTTTCATGTATGAGAAAATTTATTAAATTATTTATATAATCCTCCAGCCTTAGAATTTAAAACCCAACAAAAATCTCTTGTAAATTGAAACAAGAAAAATTTCCAGCATTAAGCAAGAATTAATTATTCAAAGCACTTGGCCAGCTTTTCAGCTTCTGTAATCAAACCATTTCTGCATTCTCTTATTGATCTGTGCCAGAAATTTAACCCTGAAACTTGCCTGCACTGCACCATTTTGCTGGGAAACACTAATATTTCATAAGTTTTTGGTACTTTGGCCATATTTAGAAACAGGACCAAAAGAGCTTTGGAAAATTTGTCAATCAGATCAGAACAAGGGAAATCTGTGTTATCATTAATAAACAGTTGAGACTAATATCCTTTACTTTTTAACAATTTAGCTAAAAGATTTAAAACTTACACCATTTTCACTTCACAACCTTATTAAAACTGTCTTTTGTAGAAACAGTCACTCACTAATAAGAATTTTAATTAATAGCAGCAGATTCCCTGCAATGTTATCTTGCTGTTCAAAATAAAGTCACTGTCTTTGTGCTTGGAAGTGGCTGGATTTAAGATCTGATGGAACTACCTCAAAACCAGAAATGTGAAGATTTTCACTGAAACTGAAGGAGAGGACGGCCATGGTATTTAGCCCTTCTCTCATTTAATCAGGAATTATATCAGTAGCTTTCTATTCAACAACAGTCACTTGTCCTTCTTCACCTTCAGAAGGTGAATTTTACCCATTTCTTAGCTGTTTTCACCCTTTTCCAGAAACAGTTACAACAGATTAACAAATGCCTTATGGAGCAGAGAAATCTCAATGCCAGGTAATTTGTTATATAAAGAAACAAGATTTCTCTGGCTTTCAAATTAAAAAAGAAAATTCAAACCAAAAAATATTTTTAAAAACCCCAAAACAACACACCCAGCACTGCTAAAAATTATTCAATGATAAAAACTGAAAAATAATTTCTCCTCTTCCTGTGCCATGAACAGTGATGGTCCCTTTAAAACATGCAGGCTCCTTCTTCTTGAAGAAGAAGAAAAAGGACAGATAACAGAAAGCAATAATTTACTTTCCCATATTTTGACTAATAATAATTATTGGGCTACATGTTTAATCATATAATTAAAAAAAACAAACAAACAAACAAAAAACAACAACAACAACAAAAAAAAACAAAACACCAAACAGATCAATAGTAAATCAAGAGTTTGGAAGGGATTTCTTCTTTTTCTTTGTCAAGCCTCGATCTGGAGGATTTTTTTGGGGGGGGGTCTAGGAATGTCTCAATCCATAAAGCTACATCAGTGTAAATTGTAAAGCCCATCTATTTCTTCAATATTTTGCCAGAGGCAAGCACTTGTTTAACAAATGACAACAGCCCTAACAGAGGCCTCAGCTAATGAATTATTCACTGGTATATTTTCCAGTGCACCCAGTGGGTATTAAACACATTAATTGTTTTAAATGCCAGCAAACAAACCCAAAATGGTATTTCTTGGTAGTGAATAAGGACAGTTTGGGGTTTGTTCTTTGCTTAAAAGATATATTGTAAGGCATTTCAGCTCCTTACTTCCTACACAGATGTTCACTGTACTTATATACATGATGCTGTTTGCCTGCCGCTTAATTTCATCCTGATTTCTTTAATAGCTGGAAGAAAATTAAGTTCCTTGTTTTGCTTTATGTAGAAAAAGGTCACATTTCAAAATTTTGGTGTTCCAGCTCAAATGCAAGAGAGACAGATTGAGAAAACTTCTTTGCAGCAGAACTGGGCCTGCTTCTTACAATTAATTAGGAAAAATCCACAGCATGAAATGAATTTACATTCTGTGTTAATAAACATGAGCCATCAGTGATGCCACACTTTCCCTCACTTCAAAGGATGTTTTTCACAAGGTTTTAGCTCTTTGTTAGCACCTCTGCTTTGGGATCTTTAATTTTCACCAGGAACCAGAAAACCACACCTGGAAAAAACATGCCTCAAAAAACCACACCTCAAAACAGTACGCCTCAAAAAGCAGAGGGAAGGATGACAGGAAGAAGTCAATAGTATTTCTGTCATGCTGACATTCACATTTATGTTATTAATGGTCTCCAGTGGAAGAAGTACTCAAACTGACCGCTTGACCCTGCTTAGCCCTTCCTTGGACTTAAACATCTGCTAGCTAAGTGTTCGTAAATGTTTGATTATAACAAAAATAACAGTGATCTCTCTAGTTAGCTGTCAATTTAAATGCTGTGCACACAGGTTAAGGTCAGCTACATATGTGCATTTTTAAAAAATCAGTGCAATTTTTTTTGAGGGCAGCTATGTGATTTTGAAGCGCAGCTCCCAACAACCTCCACCTTTTTGCCCTTTGTCTTGTTTTACAGAGTTTTTGTGAATCTGATTTAGGTTTTCTTTGGAGAAAACTATATTTCAAGCCCAGGATGAGGTGGGATATTAAATTCATCCCATCTATAAGGGGGATACAGCAGCCTGATGTCCCCTTGAGCCCTGGGACATCTTCAAAACACATCTATAGAGTGGATTTTTCTTTCAGGGTCTGAACTAAAATGCAGCCTGATGAAAAAAGCCCTAAAACTCAACCTTGTGCAGCTGCTGGCTGTGGTCAGTGCTGAAGATCCAGTTGCTCCAGTTTAGAGGTCAATCTAAAGAGCCTATGCTCCTTTCCAAGCCCTTCCATGGAGTGGTGTTGATTTTGGGATATGATTGCAGTGCTTGGACACTGAGTGCACCTGAAAACACTCAGCCAATAACCAGGGATCCCAAAGAAAATTATATTTTAAACTCGGGGGTCTTTTTGCAGTCTGTCAAAACAATGTTACAAAAAAAAAAAAGAAAAAAAAAGGTAAGGTTTAAGAATTGCTTTTGGGCTCATCGACTGCGTCGCAAGCTGGCAGCACTAAACTGCAATCATCCCACTTTCATCAAGCCTCCACATCCTAATCAGCTCCAAAAGACCCAGGTAATCTGGTTTCTGTCCATTCTTTATGGGAAACCAACAGAACATTTCTTTGTTTAGAGATCAATGCAGCGCAGTGTGATTAGCATGCACCCTGCGTTGCTTTTGTGCAAAGACAGTTAAAATAAGATTTTATGCTGCTACCGAGTGCAGCTCAGCTTTACTGCATAAGCTTGTCTCAAGGGAGTTTCTTGTGATATTTAGGTCTGGGAAATAGAGTGCTCAGCACAAAACCAACAACTGGGGTATTTTTAACCCCTTTTCCCCCCCATTTCTCTGCATCTCAGTTCCACAGTAACGCCTTCACCTTTATTACCCCGAGAGGTGGCATCCAAATGCACAAGAATATCCTCAAAACACAGAGCTACGAAAAAGGTCTTCAATTCTCACAGCTTCTACGAGCACTTCTCAAGTTATCTCAGAGACAGTTATCGTGAAAGGGCTTTGTCAAGGATGGCGCCAGGAAAAACTGACTTTCCCATTTTTAAAACATGACCTTCAAGGCTGAATACTTCCAGAAAAGTTGATACCTACCCTTACAAATTTCTAAAGATAGCATGTAAGTCTCAATCTTCTCTGCAAAAGTAAAAGAAAGTGTAAATAAAAAATTTTAAAAAAACCAAACCAAACAAAAAATCCCTGCAAAATAAGCACACTCCTTGCACTTCTTCATGATAATTCTTAGTCACAATTAACATTATTTATGCAGATGTTCACCATTCAAATGCATTTTTCAAGGCTAAAGTTTCTGCACTGATCCATATGTACAAATGCTTTTGATAATTTTCAGCCAATCCTGTGAAAAATTCTTTAAAATTATTTTCCTTGGGTATTGGTCTTTTCTTGCAAGCTGCAGCAGCAATGTAGTAATCATTCAAGCAAGGTTAAGTGTACATGAAATTCAGCAGGATTTCAAGGGGGAATTTATTATTTTTATTTCTCACAGACTAGAAGATTTTTTTATTTTGTCTATATTGTATTTCACTTAGAAATTTCAGCAACAAAGGGATCAATATAATTACTAATATGAATTTGCATGTGGATTTTCTTCACTTTTAGAACAAAAATAGGGGTCAAAATATTAAGAGCTGAGAAATTTGTCATGGGGAGTCACACGCACACAGACTAGACCACTTCTGCTGCCCCAGGTGGGGCAGCAACATCAAAAAAAAAAAGATAAAATATCTGATAGAACCCTATGTGTTAGCTTTGTATGCAGATAGAGGATGGTTTTGCTTAAAATACAACTCAACCAGGAGGAGTTGCAATAAGCAGTGTGGATGAAGTATTTACTCATTTTATAGTTTTTTCAATCTCTGACGGCCACTGGAGATAAAATTACAAAAACCTTGTGGTCAGCCCAGCCAACAGCTCCATCACCTGATTTGGTGCTAAGAGAAAACTCAGTTCTCTGTCTTTTTTCCTGAAGATCCCATGGAAAATGGGAGCAAAGAGTCAGGGGCAGTCACTCCGTGCTGATGGGATGAGGATGGAGGTGGCTGAACACAGTCCTGCATGCACATATTGGTAGTGCCAGGGCTCCATGCCCAGACATTGGACCTGCCCAAAATGCCTTGTTTAGGGCTTGTGGAACTACCTTGAAACCAGAAATGTGTAGATTTTCACCCAAACT